ATGATTCATCTTCTTTGGTTCTTTCGGTAAAGTCACCACGTAGAATGAGAATGAAATAATAAATTGATAAAATAAAATAACACAATAATATTCTCACGACGTTTCGGCCACAACACAAGCGGCCTTCATCAGGTGAAGGAACGAGACTGTCTGGTAGTGCCTCCAGCGCTGTCCTACCAGACAGTCTCGTCCCTTCACCTGATGAAGGCCGCTTGTGTTGTGGCCGAAACGTCGTGAGAATATTATTGTGTTATTTTATTTTATCAATTCATTATTTTATTCTCATTCTACGTGACTTTACCGAAAGAACCAAAGAAGAAGAACTCATTTCCTGTCTAAAATATTTTTTAAAAAAATCACTTACCCATAGGATGGACTTTTTTATTTACGTTTTACAATAATGTCTAATAGTGTTATTGTATTACATCGCTCTGTTTTTACTTTTTTTAACCATTTCTTGTGTCATTGCATGTAATGTTTGAGATTCGCGATTTATAAAGTACAACCATAACCACAATCATATAAACAGAAATCTATTTTATAGCAATATATTGGGGGGGGGGCATTTTGAGAATATTTGAATATTGGGGGGGGGGGGTGTGTCCCCCCAATATTTATGATAAATATATCATAAATACGGCCTTGGTTATTAGCTTCAAAAAGTCAGAGAGTTTTTCACTTGTAGTAGTAATAGGTTTTTACCCTTTTAACTGGCAACGAAACTGACACCTTTAAACGAGTGATAATTTTTCGATTTGAAGCTTTCGTGGCTGCAAGGATTCATCTTCTTTGGTTCTTTCGGTAAAGTCACCACCACGTAGAATGAGAATAAAATAATAACATAACACGATAAAATTCTCACGACGTTTCCGCCACAACGCAAGCGGCCGTCTAACAGGTGAAAGGTACAGGCCTGTCGGGACGACAGAGCTGAAAGGTACAGTTCTGTACCTTTCACCTGAAGACGGCCGCTTGCGTTGTGGCCGAAACGTCGTGAGAATTTTATTGTCTCATTTTATTATTTTATTCTCATTCTACGTGATGACTTTATCCGAAAGAACCAAAGAAAATCGAGTGACCACAACACTTGCGGGGCAAAATGCAACCCAAAAAACCACGCAACTCTGATAATGATATTGGGCACCGTCCTTGAAATTGATTGGTCCACACCCGAGACAGCTTTCCTTAGAGCCCCAGTCTCACGTTGGTGTTGGACCAGGTGACGCCAAAAGGCGCACGACTCAAAGACAACGCACCATCACAGTATTGAGAGCTGGGGGTAAGTAATTGACATTATGATATCTCCTTCGTTCGCCAGCATTGTCAACGCACAGCCTGGAATCTTCCCCAGATGGTGTCCAGAGAGCCGGGGTGGTGGTGGGGGGGACATCTATCGTGGTGTCTTTGCAAATTCTCAGAAGCGTTAAAATATTTTTTCGTGAAACACGCTGCAATACTGGAATAATAATTATAAAAAAACGGGGGGGGGGATGTGGTGGGGGGGGGGCAATTGACCCTACCTACCGACCCTGGATCCCCCTCCCCACTTTGTCGTTACGGTGAATGAGTGCACGAGACGAGGTCACGGAGGGAAGACTTTGGTGCTTGCATAGCGAGTTCAAGAAAAGCGACCCAACGTGGCGTGGGTGTGCGTGGGTGTGTGTGTGGATGTGTGGCCGTGTGGGTGTGTGTGTCCGTGTGAGTGTCTTGAGTGGTCCAAGTGAGTGTCCGAGCGAGTGAGTGTCCGAGCGAGTGAGTGTCCGAGCGAGTGACTGTCCGAGCGAGTGAGTGTCCGAGTGAGTGTCCGAGTGAGTGACTGTCCGATCGAGTGAGTGTCCGAGCGAGTGACTGTCCGAGCGAGTGAGTGTCCGAGTGAGTGTCCGAGCGAGTGACTGTCCGAGCGAGTGACTGTCCGAGCGAGTGGGTGTCCGAGCGAGTGACTGTCCGAGCGAGTGAGTGTCCGAGCGAGTGACTGTCCGAGCGAGTGACTGTCCGAGCGAGTGACTGTCCGAGCGAGTGGGTGTCCGAGCGAGTGACTGTCCGAGCGAGTGACTGTCCGAGCGAGTGAGTGTTCGAGCGAGTGACTGTCCGAGCGAGTGACTGTCCGAGCGAGTGAGTGTCCGAGCGAGTGAGTGTCCGAGCGAGTGGGTGTCCGAGCGAGTGAGTGTCCGAGCGAGTGACTGTCCGAGCGAGTGAGTGTTGAGTCTATGTTGCAGTGTTGAGTCTATGGTGCAGTGTTGATTCTATGGTGCAGTGCTGAGTCTATGGTGCAGTGTTGAGTCTACGGTGCAGTGCTGAGTCTGTGGTGCAGTGCTGAGTCTATGGGCTCAGCACTGCCCACACTGGGCTAATAGTGAGAAAGCTGTTGCGGCGAGAGAGAAAGGAGACGGAGCGAGAGACGAGGTGTCTGCGCTCGTCATGGCTACCATCCGTAAATCCGATACGCTCTGGCGCGGTATCCGCCAAAGGAAAACAAAAGTGAATTAATTAATCCAAAAAAAATTATTCCTTTTAAATTCCGCGGATGACGCCGAAAAACAAATTCAAATTGTGCCAACGTCTTCTCAATCGCACTCCCCCTCCCCCCCCCCCACACACATTATTATTATTTTTACAAGACAAAGAGTAACCCCCCCCCCCAACCTCCCCACTCAACTCCCTCCACTCCCCAACTACACACCCACTCTCCCCGTGTAGCCTTCACAGACTGTTGTGGGGCTGGTGGTGGTGGTGGTGGTTGGGGTGATGGTGACGGTGGTGGTGGTGGTGGTGGGGGCAAGGTCTGTTGCGAGCAGAGCTGCGGCAGCTGTACGTACGAAGGCCGGCCGGCACAGTGGGCACACGGACGGGGGGTGAGGTGGGGTGAGGTGGGGTGAGGTGGGGTGAGGAGGTGGGGTGAGGAGGTGGTGTCGGTGGTGTTGGTGGTGGCCACGATCCCCGTGCCTCCGGCAGTCCCCCAAGCGCAGCAATCACGAGAACCGCTCCCGCTATCGCGCAAAAAAAAAAACAAAGATCCCCCGTGTAGCCTGCAACCGACTCTCGGGGCAAGTGCTGTTCGCGAGTAGCACACGAGGTGGTGGGCGGGTACCCTGCACCACGCCCGACCGCCTTTGTCTCCCCCAGCGGCGATGTTTTATGTTTAAATTTTTGTTTTTAACTACACGCAACCGGAACCGGGTTACTCATTTGAGGCTGAGTCGACCTTAGGGGAGGAGGCCCACGACCCTTTAACACGCACGCGCGCACACACACACACACACGAGTGTATATATAAATAATCTAACCGTACACTGAAGCCGTGGGGAGCTAGGGGGGGGGGGGGGGCTGGGAGGTGGGGAGGCAGATGACAGAACCATCATCACCACCAGTAGCAGCAGCACCACTACCACCATCATCATCATCAACAGTAGCAGCACCACCATCATCATCAACAGTAGCAGCACCACCACCATCATCACCACCAGTAGCAGCAGCACCACTACCACCATCATCATCACCACCAGTAGCAGCAGCACCACTACCACCATCATCATCATCAACAGTAGCAGCACCACCACCATCATCACCACCAGTAGCAGCAGCACCACTACCACCATCATCATCACCACCAGTAGCAGCAGCACCACTACCACCATCATCATCATCAACAGTAGCAGCACCACCACCATCATCACCACCAGTAACAGCAGCACCGCTACCACCATCATCATCATCAACAGTAGCAGCACCACCACCACCATCATCATCAACAGTAGCAGCACCACTACCACCATCATCAACAACAGTAGCAGCAGCACCACTACCATCATCATCAACAACAGTAGCAGCAGCACCACCACCATCATCATCAACAACAGTAGCAGCAGCACCACTACCATCATCATCAACAACAGTAGCAGCAGCACCACTACCATCATCATCAACAACAGTAGCAGCAGCACCACTACCACCATCATCATCATCAACAGTAGCAGCAGCACCACCACCATCATCATCATCAACAGTAGCAGCAGCACCACTACCACCATCATCATCATCAACAGTAGCAGCAGCACCACCACCATCATCATCAACAACAGTAGCAGCAGCACCACTACCACCATCATCATCAACAGTAACAGCAGCACCGCCACCACCACCATCATCATCAACAGTAACAGCAGCACCGCCACCACCATCATCATCAACAGTAGCAGCACCACCACCATCATCACCACCACCATCATCACCACCAGTAGCAGCAGCATCACCACCACCACCACCACCATCATCACCACCAGTAGCAGCACCACCACCATAATCACCACCACCATCATCACCACCACCATCATCACCACCACCATCACCACCACCACCATCACCACCACCATCACCACCACCATCATCACCACCACCATCACCACCACCATCATCACCACCACCATCACCACCACCATCACCACCATCACCACCATCATCACCACCACCACTATCATCACCACCACCATCACCACCACCACCATCATCACCACCATCACCACCACCATCATCACCACCACCATCATCACCACCACCACCATCATCACCACCACCATCATCACCACCACCACCATCACCACCACCACCATCACCACCACTATCATCACCACCACTATCATCACCACCACCACCGCCACCACCATCACCACCACCACCACCATCATCACCACCACCATCATCACCACCACCACCATCACCACCACCACCATCACCACCACTATCATCACCACCACCATCACCACCACCACCATCACCACCACTATCACCACCACCACTATCATCACCACCACCACCGCCACCACCGAGGCAGCCGGCAGGGTGCGGCGACGCAGACCCCGCCCAGCGTGGGTGGCGTTCTTAGAGCAGGGAAGTCGATGTCGTGGGGGGGGGGGGGGGTGATAGTGGGGGGTTGGGGGGTGTGGGGGGGGGCAATGGTGAGGGGGGGGAGGGAGATGGTGGGGGGGGGAGGGAGATGGTGAGGGGGGGGAGGGAGATGGTGAGGGGGGGGGGAGGGATTTGGGGGTCAGTTTCTTAGAAAACTTCATCACGACGCACGGAATGGAGCTTCACCTCATGTCGGCCTGCAGACAATAAAGGATTGGAAACAAGTGTTAATGTTGTTGTTGTGATTGTTGGTGTTGTTGTTTTGATGGTTGTTGTCATGATTGTTGTTACTCTGGCTCGCGAGGAGAAGGCGCTGCAAAAAAGTGTGCGGACTGAACTCCATCTGTTCACCATCACCACCATCATCATCATCATCGCAGCGAAGTGTGTGGACTAATCTCTTCACCACCATAACTCCAAATGTACAGCAGCAGGCGTCAGGGGTCGAACCCACGACCTCCTGTACACCAGGCGAGGTAGTTAACATCTCCTAGCCACCGTGACGATGATGAGAGAGAGAGAGAGAGACACGCAAACTCCAAATATACAGCAGCGGGCATCGTCAGGGTCGGGATGGAACCCACGACCTCCTGCACACCAGGCGAGGTAGTTAACATCTCCTAGCCACCGTGATGATGATGATGAGAGAGAGACACGCAAACTTCAAATATACAGCAGCGGGCATCGTCAGGGGTCGGGATCGAACCCACGACCTCCTGCACACCAGGCGAGGTAGTTAACATCTCTTAGCCACCGTGATGATGACGATGATGATGAGAGAGAGACACGCAAACTCCAAATATACAGCACGGGCATCGTCAGGGGTCTGGATCGAACCCACGACCTCCTGCATACCAGGCGAGGTAGTTAACATCTCTTAGCCACCGTGATGATGACGATGATGATGAGAGAGAGACACGCAAACTCCAAATATACAGCAGCAGCGGGCATAGTCAGGGGTCGGGATCGAACCCACGACCTCCTGCACACCAGGCGAGGTAGCTAACATCTCCTAGCCACCGTGATGATGATGATGATGAGAGAGAGAGAGCCACGCAAACTCCAAATATACAGCAGCAGCGGGCATAGTCAGGGGTCGGGATGGAACCCACGACCTCCTGCACACCAGGCGAGGTAGTTAACATCTCTTAGCCACCGTGATGATGATGATGAGAGAGACACGCAGACTCCAAATATACAGCAGCAGCGGGCATAGTCAGGGGTCGGGATCGAACCCACGACCTCCTGCACCCCAGGCGAGGTGGTTAACATCTCCAAGGTCACCGTGATGAGGAGGGGGGTGGAGGGTGCTCACGTAGCACGGCTTGCCGACGCGGGTCTCATCCGCGACCTCCACGAAGTCGGCGTCGACGTCCGCGTGCCCGCAAGATCTCCCGGACGGTGCCCGCCGGGGCCCCATCATCGGCCCCGCACCACCACCGTAGCCACCACAACCACCACCACCGTAGCCACCACCACAACCACCACCGTAGCCACCACCACCGCCGCCGCCGCCAGGGAAGTTTGGCCTGGAGTAAGGTGGAGCATCTACGCCAAGATACAGAGACACAAAGATCCCATCTTAAAGCCATTATCATTCAGCCATGGTCTCTCCGCTGGTGGATGAAGGCATCTTAAATCCATTATCATTCAGCCATGGTCTATCCGCTGGTGGATGAAGGCATCTTAAAGCCATTATCATTCAGCCATGGTCTATCTACTGGTGGATGAAGGCATCTTAAAGCCATTATCATTCAGCCATGGTCTATCTACTGGTGGATGAAGGCATCTTAAATCCATTATCATTCAGCCATGGTTTATCTACTGGTGGATGAAGGCATCCTAAAGCCATTATCATTCAGCCATGGTCTATCTACTGGTGGATGAAGGCATCTTAAATCCATTATCATTCAGCCATGGTTTATCTACTGGTGGATGAAGGCATCTTAAAGCCATTATCATTCAGCCATGGTCTATCTACTGTTGGATGAAGACATCTTAAAGCCATTATCATTCAGCCATGGTCTATCTACTGGTGGATGAAGGCATCTTAAAGCCATTATCAATCAGCAATGGTCTATCTACTGGTGGATGAAGGCATCTTAAAGCCATTATCATTCAGCCATGGTCTATCTACTGGTGGATGAAGGCATCTTAAAGCCATTATCATTCAGCCATGGTCTATCCGCTGCTGGATGAAAGCATCTTAAAGCCATTATCATTCAGCCATGGTCTATCTACTGGTGGATGAAGGCATCTTAATGCCATTATCATTCAGCCATGGTCTATCCGCTGCTGGATGAAGGCATCCTAAAGCCATTATCATTCAGCCATGGTCTATCTACTGGTGGATGAAGGCATCTTAAATCCATTATCATTCAGCCATGGTCTATCTACTGGTGGATGAAGGCATCTTAAAGCCATTATCATTCAGCCATGGTCTATCCGCTGGTAGATGAAGGCATCCTAAAGCCATTATCATTCAGCCATGGTCTATCTACTGGTGGATGAAGTCATCTTAAAGCCATTATCATTCAGCCATGGTCTATCCGCTGGTGGATGAAGGCATCCTAAAGCCATTATCATTCAGCCATGGTCTATCCGCTGCTGGATCAAGGCATCCTAAAGCCATTATCATTCAGCCATGGTCTATTTACTGGTGGATGAAGTCATCTTAAAGCCATTATCATTCAGCCATGGTCTATCCGCTGGTGGATGAAGGCATCTTAAAGCCATTATCATTCAGCCATGGTCTATCGGCTGGTGGATGAAGGCATCCTAAAGCCATTATCATTCAGCCATGGTCTATCCGCTGCTGGATCAAGGCATCCTAAAGCCATTATCATTCAGCCATGGTCTATCCACTGGTGGATGAAGGCATCTTAAAGCCATTATCATTCAGCCATGGTCTATCCGCTGGTGGATGAAGGCATCTTAAAGCCATTATCATTCAGCCATGATCTATCCGCTGGTGGATGAAGGCATCTTAAATCCATTATCATTCAGCCATAGTTTATCTACTGGTGGATGAAGGCATCCTAAAGCCATTATCATTCAGCCATCCCCGTGACCCAGTGACCCCATATCCCAATGACCCAGTGACCCCGTATCATCATGACCCAGTGACCCCATATCCCAATGACCCAGTGACCCCATATCACCATGACCCAGTGACCCCGTGACCCCGTGACTCCGTATCCCCGTATGCCCCCCCCGTAACTCAGTGACCACTCATCACCGTGGCCCCATATCCCTGTATCCCCTGACCACGTGACCCGACATCCCCCCCCCCATGACCCCGCCCCCCCCGCGTACCGTGCAGGCCGTAGAGTTTGTCCGTCGCAGCGCCGCGATGGGCCTCGAGGCTCCGCTCGCCATCGTCACCGCACCCTCGCTCCAGCGAGCCCCCCGCACCGCCCACCATCACCACCATCGTCGTGGTCGTCATCACTGGGGGGCACGTGCCCACCGGCGGGGGAGGGGCCGGGGGGAGGGGGAGGTCTGGCGACGCCGGGAGGGGAAGGGGGGTGAGGGGGCATGAGAGGTCAGCATCATCAGCATCATCAGCATCATCAGCATCATTATCATCAGCATCATCATCAGCATCATCAGCATCATCATCAGCATCATCATCAGCATCATTATCAGCATCATCATTATCATCATCAGCGGCATCAGCATCATCATCAGCAGCAGCAGCAGCAGCAGCATCATCAGCATTATCATCGTCAGCATCATCAGCATCATCATCAGCATCATCAGCATCATCATCAGCATCATCATTATCATCATCAGCGTCATCAGCATCATCATCATCAGCAGCATCAGCATCATCAGCATTATCATCGTCAGCATCATCAGCATCATCATCAGCATCAGCATCATCATTATCATCAGCGTCATCAGCATCATCATCACCAGCAGCAGCAGCATCAGCATCATCAGTATCAACATCAGCATCATCAGCATCATCAGCATCATCAGCATCATAAGCATCAGCATCATCAGCATCAACAGCATCATCATCAGCATCATCAGCAGCAGCATCATTATCAGCATCATCATCAGCATCATCATCAGCATCATCAGCATCATCATCAGCATCATCATCAGTATCATCATCATCATAAGGTTGTAGGAGGATAGCCAAGAGAGGGAGGCTTCAACTTCTAGAGTTTACAAGTTGATGTTGCGTGAGAGGTCAAGAGTGAGAGAATGAGTAAGTGAATGAGTGAGATGGTGGGTGAGTGGGATAATTAGTGAGAGAGATGATGAGTGAGCGAGCGAGTGAGTTCCAAGTTGATTTCGTGTGACCAGGGTGAGGGGTCAAGAGACCAAAAGTGAGAGAATGAGCGAGTGAATGAGTGAGTGAATGAATGAGTGAGTGAATGAGTGAGATAGTACCTGAGTGGGTAATCGAGTGAGTGGGATGATGAGTGAGAGAAATGATGAGCGAGCGAGCGCGTTCCAAGTTGATTTCGTGTGACCAGGGTGAAAAGTCGACTCATAGCTCCTTGAGATCAGCAAGCGAGGATACTATCACGGTGGTTCATTTGTCACGAATTCGTGTGGCAACCGGAAGCCAATGCACGAGTGGGTTACGTGCGAGTGGATACGTGCGAGTGGGTACGTGCGAGTGGGTTACGTGCGAGTGGGTACGTGCGAGTGGGTACGTGCGAGTGGGTTACGTGCGAGTGGGTTACGTGCGAGTGGGTACGTGCGAGTGGGTACATGCGAGTGGGTACGTGCGAGTGGGTAGGGGCGAGTGGGTTACGTGCGAGTGGGTTACGTGCGAGTGGGTTACGTGCGAGTGGGTAGGGGCGAGTGGGTAGGGGCGAGTGGGTTACGTGCGAGTGGGTTACGTGTGAGTGGGTTACGGGCGAGTGGGTTACGTGCGAGTGGGTACGTGCGAGTGGGTTACGGGCGAGTGGGTTACGTGTGAGTGGGCTACGTGCGAGTGGGTACGTGCGAGTGGGTACGTGCGAGTGGGTTACGTGTGAGTGGGCTACGTGCGAGTGGGTACGTGCGAGTGGGTTACGTGCGAGTGGGTTACGTGCGAGTGGGTACGTGCGAGTGGGTACTTGCGAGTGGGTTACGTGCGAGTGGGTTACGTGCGAGTGGGTACGTGCGAGTGGGTACGTGTGAGTGGGTTACGTGCGAGTGGGTTACGTGCGAGTGGGTTACGTGTGAGTGGGTTACGTGCGAGTGGGCTACGTGCGAGTGGGCTACGTGCAAGTGGGTTACGTGCGAGTGGGTTACGTGCGAGTGGGCTACGTGTGAGTGGGTTACGTGCGAGTGGGTTACGTGCGAGTGGGCTACGTGCGAGTGGGTTACGTGCGAGTGGGTTACGTGCGAGTGGGTTACGTGCGAGTGGGCTACGTGTGAGTGGGTTACGTGTGAGTGGGTTACGTGCGAGTGGGTTACGTGCGAGTGGGTTACGTGCGAGTGGGTTACGTGCGAGTGGGTTACGTGCGAGTGGGTTACGTGCGAGTGGGCTACGTGCAAGTGGGTTACGTGCGAGTGGGTTACGTGCGAGTGGGCTACGTGTGAGTGGGTTACGTGCGAGTGGGCTACGTGCGAGTGGGTTACGTGCGAGTGGGTTACGTGCGAGTGGGTTACGTGCGAGTGGGCTACGTGCGAGTGGGTTACGTGCGAGTGGGTTACGTGCGAGTGGGTTACGTGCGAGTGGGCTACGTGTGAGTGGGTTACGTGTGAGTGGGTTACGTGCGAGTGGGTTACGTGCGAGTGGGTTACGTGCGAGTGGGTTACGTGCGAGTGGGTTACGTGCGAGTGGGTTACGTGTGAGTGGGTACGTGCGTACCATCAAGGGAGGGCTTGGCTTTCGGACGCTTCGAGGGGCGGTACTTGAACCCAGGATTTGTGCTGCAGCTGCCGCTGCCGGCGCTGTCCGATGAGAAGTAGCCGCCACCGCCTCCGCCGCCACCACCGCCTCCGCCGCCACCGCCACCACCGCCTCCACCGCCGCCACCGCCGCGCGGCCGCCCAGCCACCGCCGCGTGCACCTTGCCTGGTACAGCGAGGGGGTGGGGTGGGGAGGGGGGGTGAGTGGCGGGGCAAGCGTGACGCACGCCGCACGCGGAGATCAGCTGGTGAACGCTGGCGGCTTGCGATCAGACGGCTGCCACTGGGGGTGCCCCTAGGCTGGACCACACAGCAGCAGCAAACCATCGCAAGGCTGCTAGTGGCAGACTGATGCACAGGGACAGCTGCCACTGGGGGTGCCCCTAGGCTGGACCACACAGCAGCAAACCATCGCCAGTCTCCTACTAGCAGACCGATGCAGAGGGACAGCTGCCACTGGGGGTGCCCTCTTTTTCAAACGTGCCGAGATGAGACGCGCGATGTCAAGGGCGATCTGGAGAAGGGGCATTGCCCGAAACGTCGACCATCACACTACAGTGCGGTATACCCTTTCCCCTTTAAGACAAAGATTCCTCCCGTGCAGCCTGAACAGACTTGTAGAGGCGGTGCTTATGAAGGCCGGAACGACGGACGAGAGGAGTGACTGGGCATCAGCACCACGCACGGCCGCCTTCGTCTCTCTAAGTGGCGAAGTTTACTACACACCGCACCAGGCACTGCTCAGTTGAGGCTGAGTCGACCTAGGGGATGCCCAGGACCCGTTCCTGTTCCGATAATCGTCACCGGCGTTGGCCGTGAGCGGGAATCGAACTCCGGTGATAGCCGTGTTAGAGGACCGAAGCTCGCTAACCACTGCACCACTGCTCCCACCTACTTACACTCATTTACAAAGAGCAAGATCCCCCGTATAGCCTTAACAGACTGTTGGGGCAAGTGCTGTTAGCGAGCAGCATCCTGTGGGTGGCCAGTACCACGCCCGGCAACCTTTGTCTCCATGAAGCGCTACGAAGCCGGTGAGCCGAGTTCGATTCCTGCTCACGGCCAACATCTGTGACGATTGTCTGAAGCAGTCCTGGGCCTCCCCGAGGTCTATTACTATACACTACTACACTATACACTACTACACTATACACTACACTATACACTACTATACACTACTACACTACTACACTATACACTACTACACTATACACTACACTATACACTACACTATACACTACTCTACTATACACTAGTCTACTATACACTACTCTACTATACACTACTCCACTATGCACTACTATACTATACACTACTATACACTACACTATACACTACACACTATACACTACACTATACACTACACTATACTACTATACACTATACACTACACTATACACTACTCTACTATACACTACTCTACTATGCACTACTACACTATAGACTACTACACTATACACTACTACACTATTATACTATACACTACTACACTATACACTACTCTACAATACACTATAGACTACTCTACTATACACTACTACACTATACACTACTACAATATACACTACTATACTACACTATACACTATACTATACACTACTACACTATACACTACTATACACTACACTATACACTACACTATACACTACTCTACTATACACTACTATAGACTACACTATACACTACTACACTATACACTACTACACTATACACTACTATACTATACACTACTACACTATGCACTACTTTATAATATACATTACTATACACTACTACACTATACGATACGTACACTACACTATAGACTACAACACTATACACTGCTCTACTATACACTACTATACAATATACACTACTATACACTACACTATACACTACACTACTATACAATATACATTACTATACACTACACTATACACTACACTAATATACAATATACATTACTATACACCACTACACTACTATACACCACTATGCACTACTACACTAAACACTATTACCTACTACACTATACACTGCAACACGATACACTACGATACACTAATGCACAATACAACATACACTACACTATACACTACAACACTATACACGACTATACACTAATACACCATACACTACACTATGCACTACTATAGCAATAGGTTTTACCCTTTCTGGCAATAAAACAGTTGTGTCAAGATGTTAAAACACCAAACGGAATCCTTATTCAAGGAATCCTGTCTGCATTAATCACACACGTACGTGTGGTGAACAGGCAAACTAACGACACGCTCTGGTGGTATAAGATGATGATGGCATTGTCTTTGAAACTGATTGGTCCACACCAGAGACAGCTTTCTTTAGTGCCTCGTCTCACCACCGGTGTCAGACCAGAGGACATCAAACAGGCGAACCGCACAAGGACAATGCCACTAGCAGGACATTGAGAACTCGGGGTGAGCAGCTACACTAATGGGAACTCCCTTGCCGGTGTACAAAATTTCATAATTTGTTTAACCCCTTTCTGTCCATAATAAAAACAGTTGTGTTACGATGTTTAAAACACCCAAAGTGAAGACCTTTTTTGCAAGCAATCGTGTAGTGCATTAACCACGCACGCATACTTGTGGTGAACATGCAAACCATAGAC